GATTCCTCCAGCTCCGTTTTTCATTCTCAAGATTGCTTTGGCTATTCAGGGTCTTTTGTGTTTCCATACAAATTAAATAGACATTTCTCCAAAGAAGATATACAGATTGCCAACAAACACACGAAAGAATGCTCAAAATCGTTAATCATTAGAGAAATGCAAATCAAAACTACAACGAGGGCTTCCCTGGTGGCGCAGTGGTTGAGAGTCCGCCTGCCGATGCAGGGGACACGGGTTCGTGCCCCGGTCCGGGAAGATCCCACATGCCGCGGAGCGGCTGGGACCGTGAGCCATGGCCGCTGAGCCTGCGCGTCCGGAGCCTGTGCTCCGCAACGGGAGAGGCCACAACAGTGAGAGGCCCGCGTACCACAAAAAAAAAAAAAAAACTACAATGAGATATCATCTCACACGGGTCAGAATAGCCATCATCAAAATATCTACAAACAATAAATGCTGGAGAGGGTGTGGAGAAAAGGGGACCCTCTTGCACTGTTGGTGGGAATGTAAATTGATACAGCCACTATGGAGAACAGTATGGAGGTTCCTTAAAAATTATCATATGACCCAGCAATCCCATTACTGGGCATATACCCTGAGAAAACCATAATTCAAAAAGAGTCATGTACCACAATGTTCGTTGCGGCTCTATTTACAATAGCCCAGACATGGAAGCAACCTAAGTGTCCATCAACAGATGAATGGATAAAGAAGATGTGGCACATATATATAATGGAATATTACTCAGCCATAAAAAGAAACTAAATTGAGTTATTTGTAATGAGGTGGATGGACCTAGAGTCTGTAATACAGAGTGAAGTCAGAAAGAGAAAAACAAATACCGTATACTAACACATATATATGGAATCTAAGGAAAAAAAAAAAAAAGGTCATGAAGAACCTAGGGGCAAGACGGGAAAAAAGGCACAGACCTACTAGAGGATATGGGGAGGGGGAAGGGTAAGCTGTGACAAAGCGAGAGAGAGGCATGGACATATATACACTACCAAATGTAAGGTAGACAGCTAGTGGGAAGCAGCCACACAGCACAGGAAGATCAGCTCTGTGCTTTGTGACCACCTAGAGGGGTGGGATAGGGAGGGTGGGAGGGAGGGAGACGCAAGAGGGAGGAGATATAGGGATATATGTATATGTATAACTGATTCACTTTGTTATAAAGCAGAAACTAACACACCATTGTAAAGCAATTATACTCCAATAAAGATGTTAGAAAAAAAAGAAAAAAGAACAGGGATGCTGTTTCTAAAGGGGAAGAGGCCGAGGGAACTGACCCAAGAGCACACAGAGCTGCAGGCTTAAAGGGAAAGGGGGCTCCACGTGCGTGTGCATGCAGAGAACACGGAGGGGGCGCCCACAAACAGCCCCGGCTCTCTCTCAGGGCTCCTTCTGTCCCAGGTTCTGGAACCTGAGCCTGGCCAAGTTGGCAGTGAGCTTCCAAGCACAGACACTTAGTAATAACTAAATGAAGCTTCAGGACATTGACTGCCCTCTGCCCTTTGAGCAGTTATGCTCAGACTATGATGATGGACTAGCGACGCACAGTCTCTTGCAGAGGGAATTAATATTTAAAATATGGTGTCTGAACTTTCATCTCTTCTTACAAAATCTAATAAAAACCTCACGCCTATGAGTTTCTCATCACGAGCAACACCAACACTTTGCTCAATGTCTCTGTCTGGGTAACTTTCCCAAGGGGAGCAAGCAGGAGCCTCTGGTGTTTCTTGCCTTGGCTGATGGCCAGCCTCGCGGACCCTGGGACCGGGGGGCGCGTCCTCTGCTGAGCCCTGAACGCACTCACCACTGCCAGATACGCTGCCTGCTGTGGCCCGCGAGGAGCCCTCTGCCTTTTTCACCATAACATTGATTAGAAGAGCTTGCCCCTGGTTACAGAAATAACAAATTCACTTTAGAAAACCAGAAAAATAGTAGTAAAACATAAAACAAATAAAAATTAGTTATGATTCCACCTTCCTGAGGTAATGAACATTAATATTCTGGAGTATTTTCTCCTATATTTGCATAAACATTTTTCTTAAATAAAACAGATTAGTTTTTTACCTCGCTTTCTCTGTGTAACATTGTGAACAACCCTCAATGATTCTTACTCCTCAAAAACATGATTTTTGAGGGCTGAGTAATATTCCACTTAATGGAGAGACATACCATCATCCCCCGTTCATTTCATCATCCCCATTTGAACAGTTATCAATTTGTCTCTATTATAAAGAACACTGCGGTTAGAAACCCTGTACATCAATCTGTGTGCATCTCTGATGATTTCCTTAAGGCAAATTCCCAGGCATGGAGCCACCGAATCAAAGAACCACCTGACATAAGATGTGTCTAGACCAGAATGTTGGTCCTCTGCTCCCAGGCTGCACTGAAGGGCAAATAAGCTACCTTGAGGGTAAGGCTCAAGAATGAGGATCCCAGCAGGGTCCTGAATGGATCCGTTTTTCAAATTAAATAAGATCAAATAAATGAGTGGCCACAGGAGTTACAAGGCTGAACTGGAGAGACGGGGGCGGCAGCAGAGGGGGGAATTGCTCAGATGCATTTTACAGGAGAGAAGAGCTAGTACTGAGAATTTCCACATGCGAAACCACAAGGAAGACCTCTGTCCCAGGACCCCTGGCATGGCTTCCTCTCCCGGGCGACTGCACTCCAAGCTGTTTGTGTGAGCAGCCAGCAGATTACGTCACGTAGGTGACCAGGACAGGGCCTGGCTCAGAAGCTCAAGAAATGTGCTTTCCTTTCTGCTACAATGTAATGACGAAGGTACTCAGAACACAGCCCAGCCAGCAATATGAGTCAGTAAAACTGCGGAATAAAGGCTGAACTTCACGTCCCTACGCTCACGTCTGGGTTATTGGATCAACACAAAGTATGGCTCTTTAGCTCTGTAAGAACACGTCACTTAAAAGGGAAAGCACAAGGAAGGATAAAGCACCGACCTACAGCAATCTCCTTCCCATCTAACTCAGGCCGTAAGTACAACCAACCTCACAGGTAAGTAACGAAGCAGTTAATTAGGGGAGTATCTCAGCAGCATTTCCTTGCACCTCCTCATGCCCCAGCCCCATTTCCGTCCACCGCCCCTAAACACCACCAGACTGAAGAGACACGTCCACAGCCACACCCCTCTAACCCGAGGAGCTCCCGGTGCAGCGGCCAGCCCAGCTCAGCATCCCATCCCCGTTCAGTCTGCACAGAGTTCTCCCTGTAAGATACAGGTGTCAACAACACACAATGAATGTGTTGTTTACGCCCCTCATTCCCTTTTCCTTTTCTGTTATACTTAATCTCCTGTAATGGTGGCTCAACCCACAAAGACAGTGAGAAGATAAAACTGTATCATGTGGCTGGTATCACAGATATCTTCTGACATAAGAAGTGGTGGTTGGAATTTGGATTCTAGTAAAGATAATCTTTGGTGGTGGTAGGGAAATACCTTGCAGCACTGAAATTTTCCAAAAGCAATCGTGTCCAGTTGTTTTTAAGATGACTCATTTGGAAGCTGAGCAAGGAACTTGAATAGGCAAATCAGAGAATTATAAATGATTAGTAAACATACAAAAACAGCTCCATCTCACTGGCCATTAGGGAGATGCAATTAAAGCAAGGTATCATTTTTCACCTCTAAAACTGGTAAAAATCTTGAAGTCTGATAACATTCAGCGTTTTTGCGGATATGGGGAAATGGGTACTCTTCACCACCATTGGGAGAAACAGATTGGCACAAAATTTCTGAAGGGCGATTTTGTACTACTTATCTAATGTGCACAACCTATGACTCAGCAATCTCACTTCCAGAAACCGATCCTGTAGACCTGCACCTCTCATACAACAGCCCCTACTGTACATGTGGCTATTCAATGTTAAAAGTAATTTAAATGAAACAGAATTAAAAACTGAGTTCTTCCACTGACCTACTTACATTTCAAGTGCTCAACAGCTTCGCGTGGCTAGTGGCTGCCGTGTGGGACAATGCAGACATACCTCATTTTCATCATCACAGCAAGTCCTACTGGGCAGTGCTGCCATGGGAATACGCACGAAGTGGAGAAAGATAAACGGACAGAGATACTCAAGGCAGCGCTCTCTGTAAAGCAGACTGGATATAGGAAAAAGCGGAATAAACAAATGCCACATTTATACAAAAGTGCAAAAATAAAAAATATGAGGGTTATTTATACAAACAGAGGACTCTGCTGTTAACTTTGTAAGTATGGTGCAAGACAAGATATGCATTTTAACATTTTATATATATAGATAGATATTTATGTAATCTCTAAAGACACTGAAAAATATCGCAAGGACACATGTCAAACTATTAGTGGCAGTGGAAGGAAGAGGGACTGGAGAGAGGAATGGGAATTTTCACTTTTATTTATGTCTACACTGACTGAATCTGTAGCAACCAGCACATATTTTGTTAAAAAAAAAAAAAAAAAAGATTTTCAAAAGGAGCTCTACTCTTAGAAAGATGATTTACCAGTAAGCCCTGAAGACATCATAGTCTACTCATTTCTTTTCTAAACTATTTCCATCCTCTGGCCATCACTCTTCTAGATCTAGTCATCAAAAGCATTGTCCTGAGGCCCGGGGGGGCCGTGGATGCACCCCATCCAGCTGTGACCCCTCCCACCAGCCTCTCCCTGGCAGCATTTCCCCCAGTTATCCTCTTTCCTTTGCCCTCTTTTCATCCACTCACACGCTCACTGTCCCTCAAGCAGCTTTACAAAACTACCAACAGGATATAGTCTCTCACACTGCAACAGGTGGCAAGGACCTCGGCAGATGTGCTTCTAACCCCCAGAACAAAGCGCGCTGTCTGACAACGCGGCCTGACCGCAGAAGAGCAGCAGGAGAGCGGGGACGGGCGGCAGCACAGACGATTCAGACACACATCCCACGGGTGAGTGCTTTTCACAACAAAATCAATCACACCAAATATAAGAAACCAGCACTGGCAAGTGAGATGACCAATTATGTTCCAAATGTGATGGGTTTATTTTATTTTACTCTGATGCAAAACGAAAGATTCCACTACCGCAGAGACCGATATATTACAAGGTCATGAAAAAGTGGTGTGGGACATGCAGGACGTGATGGACAACTGGAGGGTCGGGTCATCTCCTTTGTAACATGACACTACACTGTCGCTGAGCAACACATTGAAAATAACACTGCGGAACTGAACTGAAATGTGGCACAAACATGACAACTTCCGGGCATGTCTTCAAGCACACCTCCCTTAGGCTGGACTCGATATCTAGGCTTCTGTGTGAGGAGGATTACAATTCTTTGGAAGAATAAAAAGTTCACACCTTTGAAATCTCACAGAAGAATTTTAAGGCCAAAACATAGTGGGTTGACTTCTCTTCACCTCCAGGGACAAAGCTGATGCTTTATTCAAAACCACATTAAGCTTCTAGTTCAAATCCCAGCCCGACCTTGTGCCCTCCTGCATTGAAGTTCTTTCCATCGATTAGAGCTGACAGGGTCAGTTTCACTCCTAGGAAGAAGCGAACACCACAATCACTTGTAACAAGCATTACAATCAGACCTGCATTTCCTAGAAACAATGGGTGGAATCAATGGCATGGGTTACAGCTGGCTATGAGATTACCTCTGTTACTAACTCGATGCCAGGTTAGCCACAGCCACCTGATCTGTAAAGCACAGTCGTGGCACACTTTATTTGGAGCTCACGGTTAAGAATGATGAGTGATCAACCAAACTCACAAGCCACAGTAACCAAGTTATTATTAGGAATACAGTAAGTCCCCTATATACAAACCTCCAAGTTGTGAACTTTCAAAGATGCGAACGTGTGTTCACACGTCCAGTCATGGAAGTTAGTTCACGTGTCTGGCAAACACTGTCACACGCGTGCATCCTCTACAAGTGGCTGTGCTTTTGTGTACTTTACTGTACAGGACTGTATAGAGTACAGTAGTACGGTATCTCTATTTCAAGCCCAGGATGTCCAGAAGCAAGCATAAAAGCAGTGGTGGTGTAGCTGGTACAGTACTACCCAGACATCACTAGATCGTTTCTTCAAGAGGGTAGACAGAATTGAATCCAGCAAGGAGCCAGAGCCTGCGCCATCAACGGCAGCCATGAGTGACACTGCAGCTTGCCCTCCATCTCCTGTTGCTGACGACCCTTCAGCTCTACCATCTCCCACCTCCTCTCCCCACTCCAGTCAGTAACTCTTCTTGCCTGTTCACTCGATGCCAGCCCCTGTGTGCCGGCTGTTGTACTGGACTACTGTACTTTTCAAGGTACTGTACTGGAAGATTAAACATGTTTTATTTGTTGTGCTTGTTTTTTTATGTATTATTTGTGTGAAAAGTATTATAAACCTATTACAATACAGTACTATATAGCCAATTGTGTTAGCTGGGTACCTAGGCTAACTCTGTTGGACTTACGAACAAATTGGACTTACAAACGCGCTCTTGGAATGGAACTCGTTTATATGTAGGGAACTTACTGTACAAAAATATTTTTTTAAACTAAAGTGCTTAATCTGTTTTACTTCCTCAATCACCTTCTACCCCAAGCCCATAGTTATTCAGTCCTTTACTCACCTGGTCGAAGGGTCTGAGTATAACCCAGTCCAATCAGGCTGGCATTATTCACTTTAGCCTAAGATTAGGAGACGAAATAGAAACAGTTAGAAAACAATCAATTTCATAATATATAAGTCCAACACAACCACTCCATGCATCAGATTTCCAAAGCTGAAACACCTTAGGACCAATCCAGAATTAGTAAAACTGAAAACTTAATTAATAAAAGATAAATCTTTTAAGAAGTCAGTAGGGGACAGAGGGGACCTTGAGAATGCATGCTTAAAGGCCTCGAGCAAAATTTTAAAACACTGTGCAGCCAAACATCCCTCCTGTGAACTGAATTCTTTTGAGTTACCAGTTTTACAACCTCTGACAGTGGTACAAGCATGAACTCTGGTGAGAGACAGATCTGGGTTCAAATCTTGGCACCTGTCTCTTATTATGTGACCTTGGGCAAGTTACCTGACCTCTCTAAGTCTCAGCTCCCTCATCTATAAAATGCAGATGAGGGTAATACTACTCACCAAATAATTAGTTGTGAGGGTTAAATGAGATAATACACATAAAGTCTTAGCACAGGACCTGAAATTTAAGAGCTCAATTAGTGTTATTAACAAGAATTACCAGTGGCAACAGGAACAGTAATCGAAACCCAGGAACGTATAGATAAGAAAATTTTGAGGCCAAAGAGATAAAATGACTTTAGGTCAGACAACAAATACAGAAGGAACTAAGATTAGAACCCACAGTTCCTGACTTCAGGTATATGCTCTTTTCACTACACAATGAGTAGCTCAAAGTTAATAAAGAACATGCAAACTACAACCACATCACAGCATCCATTTACGACTTAGACGAAACCCTAAGAACAGACCCAATCTGCAGCACATTCTTACACATAGAGAAGTTCTACAGTCCAGCTTGTACTTAGCGGCGATGCCGAAACGGGTGTTGTTACTGCCAGCCGTCCACGCGAGGTTTATTGATGTTTCAATCTTCTCGTTCACCTTCTGGTAGATCGACCCTCCAAATTCAGTGCCATCGTTCCTGTTTTCACAGCAGAAGAAAAGTCATAAATATCTAGTTTGTTACAATATGGAAACAAATTCTAAGACTATCTAAATCAGGGTCTTATTTTACAGCTACAGACTTCAGCAGACTTCTAGCACAACAGACTTCCAAACAAACCGGTTATGTGATTTATAGCCACCTAATTAAAGCACAGTAACATCTGACTCATTTACTTGGCTCCTCCACATGACATGAATTTCTTAGACACAATTCAATTATGCACAAAGGCAGACACCTCAAGTAAGTATGATCTGTATGTCTCTGACATGTTCACAGTATTTAGAAACTTCAAAGTAGAGTTATATAAAGATTCTGTGAAAAAAAATATATAGTAGTACAAGCCAATTCTGGATTTCACTCAAAACACAATCTTAGCATTAGAAAGCACCCTCCAGACAATAGCTACAGTGCATGGCCCCAGGGAAGTACACGACGTATTGCTTCAGAGCACCTCAGCAGTCAGTCCCTGAGTTTTTGTAATACTGTTTCATCAATTTCAATGCCTCTTTCTACACCACTAGCGACTTTATTTTAGTCACCATAAGTGGAATAGAGTGTCTAGTGGAAAGCAATCTGCAACACTTCAAAAACACAGAGCTGATCCTTTTCCTTTTCTTCCTGGGACAGCAGCAGTGCCCAGTAGGCCAAGACATAAAATACAGTTTAAAAGTTCAAATTCATGTAAACAACAGGCTGCAGTCTACAGACTTGAACCCAGGACTGCTCTGAGGACTTCTGCTACTTCTGAATACAACCCAGGTAACTGGTTCTGACCAGGGTACCTGAAAACCTCCAGAGAATTACATTGGGGATGCTCCAGGACGCTCAGATCAATCAGGGGGTTGTTCATGATCCTAACAGAGCTGCTTCTAGAAACTGACAAGATGAACAGGGAACCAGAGGAAGCAGGAACGCCTCCAAAGGATCCCTTCTATCAGGAGGTGGCCCCTGCCCCGGGCCCTCTCCATCCCAGTGGTTGGGGTACAGGCTCAGAGGCCAGCAACTGCCAGCAGCACAGCACCAGCGCCAAGTGCACTAACTCTACAGTGCTTTGCCGACTACGAGCGACACAGTGTAGCTGGATGTCCACCAAGGCATGACGTCATGCCAGCACCACCCCTTCCAACCTTCTCCACATGCTAACGGCTACCATCCTCTGGGCGACTGTGCCGGCACTAAAGGAGGAACTCTGAACCGTGAATACTCACACGTGAGTGTGCAGCTGGAAGTCTGCAGCCTTGTAACCCAGGGCGAAATTATTCTGTGACAGTTTGGATTTGGCTGTGTCAAAACTCATCTGATAGCCAGCAAGCCAACCTTCAATGGCCAACACAGCCCAGCCGTAGATGGTTGGTCCAGAAAGATCTATATCAACATTACTGCCAAGACTGAAACAATCCCGTTTATAGGAGGCCTTCAATTTCCCACTCTTCTTTCTGTAAAAAAAAAGCAAATGAAAACAGCACAAGTTTTCACTGCTGTCCAGAAATTTTTAGAGTAAGATCCCTCCTCTCCCATAATGTAAATACTGTTTTGGCAGGTGGCACATATACAGTAAAAATGTTTCAAATGACAGCTCTACAAATGTAATTTTGTTAGGATTAGAAATATATATACTATTTTTTACCTATTGCTCACTGTAAGTTCAAATGATAGGGTATTTCATGATTAATGTCATGAAAGCATAAGTATAAAAAGGTGTAAGATATTTCAGTACCAAATTAATAATCTGAATGTATATGTATACAGACATATAAGAAACCAAATTTCTTTAAATGTTTCCAAATGCTACAAAAGGTAATGCCGGACAAACTTCTAAACTATTAACCTGTCATAGAGAGAAGTGTACTTTTTTTTTTAATAAGCATATTTATTTTCCTTAGGCCAATGTTTTCTCCCTGGACAATGTTAGATGGATGGAACAGAAGTGTACATTTTTGAAGGACAATACTGAAAACACGAAATCAGTTCTTAATAGTCCTGTGCTTGTCCTGAAGACAACACAGGTGTGTAGCAGGAAGGACACGCCTGCTGTTACAGGGGAGGAGAAATGCCACGTGGCCCCCATCGAGCACCTGTCCTTTAGAGAGAGGCAGGTGGGAAACAACATAATCCCCATTTTTCAGATGAAAAAACTGAGTCAGAGAAGTTGGGGGATTTATAAAGGCTAAGAAATCAAGTAAGCGGCACTATTCTTTGTGGTGTTCTGGTGCCAGGAGACTACACTCTTCTCTTAAGATGTTAACTTCTCAGCAAGACATCACATCCGTGAATCTTCAGGACAGCTTAAAAAATATCTCGTCTCAGACCCCTCTAGCGCCTACATTTTTTCTACTATGTGCCTCTTTGAGTGTCACACAGGGAGTGTCCTCAGGGAGGGTCCCTCCCTCCCTCCTGCACACACAGGTCTCCGTGCCCCTCACCTCCAGAGCTCCTCCTGCAGTTCCCTGCCCTAGACCTCTCTATCCCTTCAAGCCACAAGACCATTTCAGAAAATGGGGTTGGGATAATTACCCTGTGTTCGGTACAAATATGGTATCAAGAGTCAGTTTCAACCCTTCAGCCAACTGAAAAATAAAGATTTCAAATTAACAATCAGCAATTTTTAATTCTTTTCTTGACTTGAAAAACCAATTCTAAAGTTTTCTCTAACTTCCTAACAAATAAGAAAGTCATTAAAGAAAGCCAAATATTGAATGATTTAATAAATTTCCTCTTCTTCTTTCCCTGCACCCTATCCCACTCCCCTCACCCCCCAGGCTTCATCATGATTCTCTCACCCAAAAAAAGGCTAAAACATATAGGTCAAATCCTGTTATAGCCAATAATGTAAATTAGAGTACAAAACCAGAAAACCCCAATACAACAAAATAACTGTGATACTCTCTTGAAATTATTGTAACTGGACATTTAACAAGCCAACCTAAGTAATTTATTCAGCTATACATACATATGCATTATCTATATATGGTAATGTGCAAATAAACATACTTCAAAAACTAGTGCCCTGAAAGTAGCAGGCACTTGACAACTGCTGAAAGATTTTCTCTTTGAAAACATTAAAGAATTTTAGAAACATTTTTCTGTGGAGTCAATTTTGCAATGATTACAAAACAAAATTAAATTAGATCACTACAAATAGCTTGGTCTACTCAGGAGAGGCTCAGCTGTGTAACAATAAGTATTATAGAACTGGTCAGAACAAAAGATATCATAATTATGTACACAGCAACAAAACCTTACTTTCTAGAAACATAAAACATACCAAAGAAGGCCACATGCAGAGAAAAAATACGAAAACTAGACAGGGTTGCAAGATCTCAAATTATATTTGGGATTTGTTCAGCATTTTATCCCCAAGATAATTTTACCCTACAAATATCTTCCAACGCTCTCTTACCTTATTCTCCAAAGAGACTTCTGTCCCAAGAGTATTGTCTGTGTTCCACTTTTGGGTGAAGGTCAGTCCATAGTTACAAATCTTGTATTTGGTCTCTAGGTTGCCTGATGCTTTCCCTGTATCAGTGTAAGCATGACCAGAAGTAGAAAATTCCTGGTAAGAAAAAAGAATTACTTTAAAATCCGCTCATGAGATAGAAAATATTCATTCCAGAAAGTAATGTTCAATGTAGCAGAAACCAACACAACTTACTTTTTACCACAGCCCTACTCTGCAGCAACTTATTTCCTGTTTCCCTTCCTTCTTTCCAATCTCTAAATATTTTAACCAGTCTTGCATCTTCCCATTACTCCACCTCTCTTACTGATATTTCTGTGCCATATACTCTCTTACTAAATGGGAATCTCTCTTTTAAAAGAAAAATATCTTTACTGAAAATAAATGCCTTTTCTAAAAAGACAAAAATATTGAATCTTAAATGTGTACTTTCATGACACGGAAAAGACTATCAGTTCTCTATCATACCTTGTGAACTATGAGTTAACTTTAAAGTCCTTAAAAATCCCCAAACACTAGAAGCCCTAGATTGCCCCCTTTTAATAGGGCCAGAACTTTAATGCATTAAAAAGCCTTATTTTTATTGTGGTGAAATACACTGAACATAAAATTTATCATTTTAACCATTTTTATGTGTACAGTTCACTGGCATTAAGTACATTCACACTGTTATAAAAACTTTATTGCTTTCGTCCACAAAACTATCCATAAGACTATCAGCGTACACAATTTCAATAATTGAAAGTTCCCATTTTTCACAAGAAAATGGAATGTTGTAACTTATCCCTCTTCCCTGTCAAATAGTTACTATGAATGCCTTAAAATATATCCTCCTCCCAGTTAGGTGTCCCTCAGTCATATGACAATAAGCAATTAGAAATAGATCTCCTTCTAGGGGAAGCAAACAGTCAACATCTGTCACTGTCAATCTATGAACTGTCAAGAAAAAACGTTTCTGATTGGCCCTGTTTTTAAAGAACATTTCTGAAATACTGCCAACAGTAAAGAAACCCTGCCAACCCTGCCCCCTAACGCTCGTTCTACAGGCCGATGAAACAACTGGGAAACTGTGATCTGTTTATCTACACCACGCAGAAAGTTTTCAAAGAGAATATCACACTGCACACTAAGGGCAAGGCCTTGGTAAAACACGATAAAATGCTAGTCACGTTTAATAGTTCATATCACTTTCTTTTAGCAGATCCAGCTACCTAGTGTTTCATTTTTCACGTTTACCTTTCATAAACTTGCAAGTATAGCAAATAGAAACCTTAATTTTGGTGCAAAAAATAAAGGTAAAAGAGTATTTAGTCTGTATTTCTTTCTTATCATCATCATTTCTTAGTCTGAAGCTCTGTCAAAAATCTAAAATGCCAGAGGTACAAATCTCAAAGAAAAGTCTAGAATTTTCCTAAGTTGAGCTCCAGGCTCACAACTGCTTCAGTTTTTGTCTAATTTCATAATTAGCTCAAACAGTGCAAAATATATTTATAACATGCACATAACATCTACGGTTCTGCATTAAATGCTAGTATGCAACAAAACAATCATGAAAATGTTACTGTTATAGATGGCATATCATAAAAATACCAAGGTACGATCGAGAAAATTTGGAGCAGTGGATGAAATTTACCCTGAATCAGTACCAGAGAACAAAAGCAGCCATAAAAACAAGCACACAAATATACTGTTTCTCTTACCATCTGAATGAATATTCACACACAACAGCAGCATGAAAGGGAGATAAAATTTTAGTTGTTGATTTTTGCAAGACAAACCTACCTTGAGCAAATTCTGAAGTACTAATCAAAATGAGTATAACTTTTCTATTTTAATAGATGATATAACAAAATCCCATCCTAGTAGGGGAGTTGCATACATATTTATTCACTACTAGAAAACCCAGGGAAAGAATCATAGTGACAAACCAGGACTATATGAAGCATAAGACAAAGTACCGTAAATACTCCACATGCTTCTTGCCCTTCTAATTTAATCATTATATCCAGAAATAAAATTTGCGCTGGTTTGAATAGGTAAATACCAAACAAAAAAGATGCAGCCAATAAAGAGAAATCAGAGAATAAGGTGAGGGTAAAGTCGATCTATTTGCTGAGACTTACTTAAAGAAAGCTCTGGTTAGTGACGCTTTGATAATACACTGATATATCCTTTACCATATTCTTAACTTCCAGTAAAAAAGACTTTATGAACATTAATAAAAAATGTAGACTAATCTTCTACATGCATTTCTACATCTGTTTCAACTAATCATGAAGGGACAGAGGCTAAAATTAATTTGTTTTTGTAAAAGGGCAACAAAATTTGCATGAACCCAATACAAGGGAAGCAAAGATTTTAGTGTCCATATACATATTCATGAAAATATAAAGATATGGCATCGGTCAAAAATATATATATATATATATATACATACATATGTATACATATATTCTGTCTCTTCTGAGAATAAGACTCAGAATACTCTTATTATGACAAACACAAAGGGTTTCCCCCCAAATTCAACCTGACTGTCCTTGGGCTCAAGTGGCTGGGCAGCTCACTGAAATCTGAGAGCAGGACAAAGCTGTAGGGAAGACAGCATAGCACCAAAAGTATGCCGTTTCAAGTAACTTGACTAAACAATGATTTTTAAACAGGTTTCTTTAAGTTAATTATGCTACATCTATTAAAAATATATTAAGGGGCTTCCCTGGTGGTGCAGTGGTTGAGAATCCGCCTGCCAATGCAGGGGACACGGGTTTGATCCCTGGTCCGGGAAGACCCCACATGCCGCAGAGCAACTAAGCCCATGCACCACAACTACTGAGCCTGCGCTCTAGAGCCCACGAGCCACAACTACTGAAGCCCGTGCACCTAGAGCCTGTGCTCTGCAACAAGAGAAGCCACCGCAACGAGGAGCCCGTGCAACGCAACAAAGAGCAGCCCCGCTTGCCGCAACTAGAGAAAGCCTGCGTGCAGCAACGAAGACCCAATGCAGCCAAAAATATAATTAATTGATTGAAAAAAAAAAAAAAAATATATATATATATATATTAAGTACTTACCACTCCACTACATGACTTGGTTCTCAGATCTATTTTGACCATGCCAAATCCTAGACACACACAGAAATACACATTAATGTACAAAATGTGACATGCACTCCAGTCTTTGCAACTTAGGAATTATGAAAATAGTCCATAGTACATTCCATATGGAAAATACTCAGTATTCTTGTTAGGTGAGAGTTCCACGAGGAATTGAATTATAACAAAATAACTTAATTTTAAAGTCCCTCAAAATAATAAAGACATATTTTGAAAATATAAGTTAAAAAAACAAATGGATGAAAGGAATATGTACTATTTTAAGAACCAAAATTATTAGAAATTATGCAGATATATATATACAAGCTTAAAATATATAATTAACATTACTAGTTAATAAAAAATCAAATGTGTACAGCACAAAAAATTTAAAATGCAAAGACTAAATTTTTAAAACTAAAAATAAATGTCCACTTGCTTTCAAACACTGTATGTTCCTCCAAAGAAGTCAAAAGCTGTGTCTTCACCCTCGTGAAAATACTGCCATTATTTGGAGGAGGAAAACTACACCCCCTACGTTAGCTGTCCCCAGGGCTAACCAAAGGAGGCACACATATTACAGATTTATATGATTTCACCCAACAGATAATATTAAATATGCAAATGCTATGTATGTGTTAATGTACACAACAGCTTTTAATGCCTGTGGGACTCTACCTCTAAAAACAGAAGTCTAGTAACCTGCTAATGGTGATCCCCTTAAATCTTGTAAAATAGATTAATGCTGACTTAACCTCATTTTACTAAGCACAGTCTCTCCCATATAGTAGGCATTCAGTACTAATGCTTACCCCCAAATTGGCAATTCACAATAGCATACTTACCATATCCTTTGTTGAAGACATCCTTGGCAGCCTTTCCTAGGTCACAGTAAGTCGGTGTGTTACACATATCTTATAAAGAAAAATGAGGACAAGGGAATAAAAGTAACTATTTAGTATTTATTCACTGTTCAGCTGTTTAGTTCTGTGAGAAGAGGTATATAGTTTTTTCTTCCTTTGTGTCATTAATGCTTATGCCCTAATGCAAGCCAAGTTAAGAGAAAGCATGCTGCTCCTTTAAAAAGAGCTTTCCAGAATGCTAGAGAATAAAAGGGTTTTTCATGAGATTCACAAAGGTCATCTTTCTGATTGCATTGCAAAGAAAAGAAATTTCTCCCAGGCTGAAGGAGATGCTCTGTTAAACTGGACTTTTACTTTTTAAAAAAATGCAAAAATGTACATTAGAAAAACATTTCTTGGGCTGTTATAAAGCCAAAGAGCTATGTAAGATGTCAAGGTAAATTTTCTGAGGATCTGTAAAACAGATGCAATTAAACATCTTCAGGGTTACCGTTTTTGCCACTCTGACATTCAGTTCTTAAGAATTACCACATTAATTGAAATGTATTCACCCAGAGTATGCCCTCTCTCAAAACTCTTCTTAAAATAAAGTGCTGTAATCTTACCTAGTAACCAGATATAGGACAGGGTCTACCTGCAGCGGTCTGCTCCCACAAATCAGTATACACTGTAAAGTTACAGCCTTCAAAACCCAAGGGGCTTGACTTTTCATCTTGCCTACTTAGTATTCAGCCAGCCTTTCTACTGCCAAGATGACCTCACATCAAAATCTCAGGCCTGTTGACACTGCTGAACATACCACTCCTTTGCCCTGTGCACCACGGGAAACCTCTTCCTGCAGCAGCCTCAACAGCCACATCCAACAGGTCGTAGAACCACCTCAAGCAACCCCACTGGCCCCATTACTACACCAGAAACATCCAGAGCACCAGCTAGCCCCTGAACCACCTACACAACCGAAGGTATTTATTTCTATTTGGCTGAGCTCTTAGTCTGGCCTGCTGCTAAGATTCTGCCTATCCCACCACACCTGAACACTACACACACTTTATGGTGCACTTCGTAATTGTGAATTCACTTAAAATTTGTCCCTTAACCTAAACCTGTCAAATATGACAGATATTAGGATATGTTAAGAGAACAGAGTATTAAAATATATATAAAGTTAAGAAGAAAGCGTAAAGGTGAGAGGAGATAAATGTACTGACTCATAGCCATCGTAAAGCTTTGTTGTTCTAAGCCACAAGGTTTCATAGTTCACTCCCAGAGCAATTGATTTACAATTCAGTCCTTTGTATTCAAAGGATCAATTTTAGGCTTTTTACACATTGCCAACTGCAATCTGATATTACTCTTTATGATCACAACCGATGCCGGTATCTGTTGAAATGTTTCCCGAAGTTCAGTCTAAAATGCAGGCACTACGTATTCAAATAGAAATGTTAAGGCTTTACAGTCTGTTTTTTTCTCTACTGACAAAAGATACACTTAAATGTTTAGAAACATCCATCCAGGGACCCATTACAGTCTTTTAGCATTTTCCTTCTTTTTCAAAACGACCTGCCAGACACTTTGCAAAAGTCGTGTAGGGGGTTGGACCTCAATTTTACCTAGTTCAAGCTTACTTTTTCAGGCCCAGGATCCTGATGGGAAGTGCACTGCTGGTATGATCAAGCAAAATCTCGAGAAGCCCCAGAGACGACACGTTCCGCACATTTCCATGACTACAAATGCACTTGTCCGTGGGCACGCACAGCGCACCGGGGTTGCAGGAGCCGCAGTCGGGGGATGGGGGTGACGGGTTAGTTATAACCCAGCTTCACACGATTACTAACGGGACCGTCAGCTCGCCTCGCCCCTTGAAGGTGCACATTCAGCATCCTCCCCTCGGCGGCAGGGAGTGGAAGAGCCCCCCTCATGGTGGACTCCAATGCCAGGGAGGAAGCCGGGGGCGGGGGTGGGTTCGGGGTTCGAGGACCCGACTTCCCTCGAAACCAACCTCCCGTCCGGCCTGACGCCCGGAGAGTCCTGGGGACCGGCCGGGCGCAAGCAGGTGGTGGCGCGGCGGTCCATCACCCGAGGGGCCGGTCCCCGCCGACCCCGCCCGCGGGCCCGCGCCCCGTTAGGCGGCCCTTCCTACCGCAGGGCCCTGCCGGTCGCCGCCCCGCCCCCGCCCGGCCGCCGGCCCCAGGCCCCGGCTCGCCTCACCTCCGACGGGAGGACCTGTCCGCTCAGCCAGGAGGGCGCGCCCGCTCCGCCAGGGCACCGAAGAAAGTCTTCAGAGCAACGCCGTCCGCGCCTGCGCGGCCCCACGCCCGCGGCGCCTGCGCGCCCCGAGCCCCGAGTCGCGGCTGCGCCGGAGTGTCGCGCCGGGGTCGCGCGCGGCAGGCCCGAGGCGGACCTACATCTCCAACCGTCCGAGTGCGCGCGTGCGCGGCAGGGCTCGGCGCGCAGGGACGGGCGGAGGTTGACGTGGGGCGCGCAGGCCGGGCGACCGCACCTTTGTCCGCGAGGGGCCCGCTCTCGCGAGAAGGCGCGGAGACTACTAGTTACCGTTGCCAGGGGAGGGGCCGCGGCGGTGGATGCGGCGGTACCAGCCGCTCCGCAGTGGATGCTGGCACAGCCGACCCCGGCGTCTTCTTCTCTGGCGGATGCCTGGCAGATCTGTATGGGGATTTCGTGTAAGGGTGACTAAAATTCAAGAATGTGGCCCTTAGGTCATATCGTCTTAAGGATGAGAAAAATAAGTCCCGAGGGGGTAAGTGACGTGACTTATTCAAGATGACACAGGGTAAATGATATTTCAAAGGCAGAGAGGAGATGGAGGCGGGAAAGCTCTCCTTCAGAGACGAACTGCAGCTCATAAGTGTAGAAGAAATTATAGAAATAGGAAATCACCACTTTGGAGCCACCAATAACTGATTCAAGCAAAATTCATCGATAGATGCTGGACGGTTGAGGATATTCATACAGTTCCAAAGTGTCATCCCACAGGTTACTTAGTGAAGAGAAAAGGGTACCTTCACATCAAAGAAGTCACCCTCAGTCGAGTGATCAAACTTGACATCACCAGTGATGGTACAGACTGACATCACATGCTCATTCTTGCCAAAAAAGTGACTTCTCTCTATTCACAAGGAAACAATCAGATTGAGGGACAATCCAAATTGAGGGACATTCTGCAAAACAACCACCTGGTCTCTTCGAAAATGTAAATTTCATGAAATATTAAGAAAAAGGCTAGTGAACTGTTCTAGATTAAAGGAGACAAAGATATGATTCCAAGACCAATGTGATCCTAAATTGCACCCAGGATCAAAAAACAAAAAGCATCAAAAAATAGAAACAAAAAGCATCTATTCAGGATCATTCTTGGGTCAACTGAGAAAACTTGACTGTCGACTATAGTCGTATTGTAACATGTAACATTTTCTGAGGGTGATGATTATGCCTTGATTATGCAGAAATGGCCTGGTGTTTAGGAGATACGTGCTGAAGTATTTAGGCGTGAAATAGCACGTGTCTGCAACTAACTCTCAAATGCTCAAGGGAAAAACCATGCAAAATGTTAACAGTTGGTGTAGCTAGGTGGAGCATATGTGGATGTTCGTTGCATTATTCTTGAAACTTTCCGATAAGTTTAAAATTTTTCAAAATAAAAAGTTGGGAAGAAAAAAACCCCACAAAGTCTTTGATATTCAGTTCCTGGTACCAGGTTGCTGCTTGAATCAAGAGGCAGAGATTATTTCCCTGCTGTGCGTAAGGCATTTCAGGCTAATAAGAGATAAGATACATGCTCCCAAAGGACTCACAATGTAAGACTTGGACAAATACCTGCTGAACGAGGCAGAAGATGATAAATGCCATTAACAAAGCAATAGAACTCAGTAGGCTAAACAAAATGAGCTTTGTCGTCAAAAGAGGCTGGGTTTGTATCTCACATCTGCCAACTCTGTGGTGGTTGGCGAGCAACTTCACCTCTCTATGCCTCTGTTTCTACATCTGTGAGACAGAACTAAATAAGGTCTGCTCCAGAGGACTGTAGTGAATAGTAAAGAAAATAATGTATCCAGAGCACATAACAATCTACCTGGCATATGGAAAATGTTCATTAGTTAATAACGCAGATGAAAATATGCTATAAGTGATTAAAAGCTGTACAGGCAAAACTACGTTTATTCACATACATATGCATATTAGAGCCACAACTTCAGCCTGTACTTTGGCACAGACCTGGACTTTGTCGGGTACAACAGGCCATTGAAGGCTGTAAAGAGCACTTTGAATGGGAATTTGGCAACATTCCTTCCTTGGGCTTCTTTATCCAAAGACCTTTCTTCTGAAGGGAACTGATAACACCAGTCCCAGGTCATGCACCAAGAGACCTCCTCTTTCTCCCAGCACCCGATGCAGGAAGGTGGTAAAATAAATTGTTAAGGGAAACGGCGGCTGCAGAGGGAATCATTCCTTTGCTTGCCATCTCTCTGGCCCCGTCGGCTTATCAGGATCCACGTTAACCCTCAACGTCCATATCAAGCCTCTAGCCTCTGCCGCCTCCAAACTACAGCCATTGCTCACCCCCGACCCACAATGGGCTCTAAGCTCTTGGGAAGCATAGAAAGGACTTTCTCAGTCCAACTTCTAATCACCTGGCATTCTTCTCCTATAAAATGTCTAGAACCAGAATTTTAGGGCAGGGAAGGGGCTTTGGACTCCTTCATTTGTGAGACATTTGCTACGTGCTTACTGCGTACAGGACACCAGGCTCAGAGCTGATGGATGAGCACACGCCCAGACATGTTGTGTGCGTCCAGAGGCCCTGGTGAGTAGGCTCCCAGCACAGGTCACCTGCTGTAGTCAAGGTAACCTGATTGTCTGCCTGTGTTACCTTTGTGAGAGAAAATCTCAGAAGGTTAGTATAGTTTTACCCTCAAAAATGAGAAAAAAAAACACCCTAAGAACAGAAACCCCACTGTGAAGATTTAGTAGCTCGATTGCCCTAAGTGTAAGGAAAATTAAGATTCTGAAGCCAGCGGTGTTATTTAATTCCCTGTTTCTTTAACGCAAAAAGGGCCCACTTGTTTGTTTTCAAGGACTTCAGAATTCTGATGAAGGGTGAGGATCCCCTTGGCATCTTTGAAGAAGCAAGAGGGACCAGCCCCATCCCTGGGCCTCCTCAAGGGGGCAGCAGAGCACAGGGACCCAGCGGTGAAAGCGCCTCACTGTGCCAGGGATGGGTCAGGTGGACAAGAGGGGCATGGCTTGCAGTGCAGAGGGACAGACATCCAAGACTGTGTTATTGTATATTGAGGGTGTATATCATACCCTGAAATTCCATGTCTGAGGACTCTTCTCAAGGAAACAGACTCGTGCAAAGGTTCATCTTGAATAGCTTGAATGAATTACAGTAGTAAGAAATTAAAAACAATTTAATGGCCAACATTTAGAGGATTCATTAAATTATAATACACCCATCTTCTGGGATATGGTACAGCCGTGTGTTCTGATAATATTTGATGATCTGGGGGAAAGGCTCAGTTAAAAAAAGGGGGAAGGAAACAAAAGTTTAAGTACAGTGTAATTCCGTGTGTGTGTGTGTGTGTGTGTGTGTGTGTGTGTGTGTGTTACAGTTTTACTTTAGGAAGAAGCAGGGCAGACAGAGAGACTGGGTAGAGGGGGCCCACATGGGTAGATGTAGGCTTTAGTAATGGCTAATTCTGGACTGGTGATAAATTAATAATACATATTATATATATATATATATGTATGTATATATAATAAACAGATGCTGTATATGTGTGTGTATATGTATGTACATAGAAAAAAATCGGGAAAATGTTTCCAAAATCTTATAGTGAGTATCTCTGCTGGGTCAGAGTATATGTGATTTTTATTTTCTTCACACTGTTCTGTATTTTCCAAAATTTCTAAAATTTGGAGACGTGTTTCTGTTAGAATCAGAAAAGTTAAACTCACTTTCATAAGGTGGAGAAGTACCTAGGTTCATGAGAAGGGCATGCTGTTCCGTGGGCAATTTCCATCCAAAATTGGAAATGTCTCTGGGATCAGTCCCTGGAATTTATTTTGGGCTTTCTGGGCGCTCCCTTCACTCTTGGCCACAAGGGGGCGCAAGGAACCAAGGTAAAGAATAGCTAACCCTGCTGGTAGGCAGGGGGCTTGGGACTCGAGTCAGGGTGATGACCCCTGTCCTCCCCTTGCCCCCAGAGCCTCATCCAAGCTCTCCATACGGTTGTGAACACAATTATGGGGGCTTTCCTACCCAAGTTAGAGTCCAAGTTGAATGTCAAAAGGGCAGCAAGTATTTACAAATTGTTTTTATGAGGAAACCAATTTTGTCAACGTTCCACATGTGGATTAGGGTACAGCCTGGCTGACACAACCTGCAAATTAGCTCTTCTTAATCACTTGCTAGTGAAGCACTATGATCACTTATACATGAAACATAAATTAAGAAAAAAGAGGATGGCATACTCCTATGGAACCTAAAAATAGTTAATAGGCAATGTCCCCTTAGTGAATATATAGCTGTGTTTCAGGCAACTTGATGTTTTGGGGAATGGCCTTAGGTTAGTGAGCTGTATAGTGTGGTGTAGAGGGAAGAATCAACTTTGGAACCAGAAAACTTATGTTAAATCCGAGGTCTGCAACTCACCGGCTGTGTGACCTTGGGCAAGTTACTTGACCTCTCTGAGCCTTGGTGTCTTCATCTTTAAAACGGAGATCCCCAGGAGTACACCGTCCGTCCAGATGGGGCCCACCCAGGGGGTTCCACCAGATGGCTTTCTTTGGCCAAAGTTCTGAGGAGGCTTGGACCACACACCAGGGTTCACCCTGGGCCAGAGCCAGATCACGCCAGTGAGTCACACACATCACAAGCCCCAGGACGATGGAGGAGCCAGACACAGACTCACCCTGAAGGGGTGTGGAGGGGCTGCGGGGAGGGAGTCTACAGCTAGGGGCCCCTGGAGAACACCCCAGGGAGAGGCGAGGCCTGTTGCCCCACCCCTCCAGTGGGGACTCGGGAGCCCGTGTGTGCAGAGCTCAGGGCAGCCATTCACCACCCCACCTCACCTCTATGGAGATGTGATTGACATGAACCACGGTGTAAGTTTCAGGTGTACAGTGTGATGATTTGATACAAATATATATTGCAAAATATAATTACCACAGTAAGGTTGGTTAAGGGTGTCCTTTACCTCATACAATTACCATTTTTTTGTTGTTTATTACGGTGGGAACATTACAGCTCTGCTCTCACAGGAACTTTCAAGTTCACAGTACAGAATTGTTAACTATAGTTGCCAGAGCCATTCATTTAGAAAAATTTGTGTCTTCAGAATTGGGACTCCAGGCAGGTCTGGGATCTCCTAACACTATGGGATTCA